ACCTGCTGGGTAGGTAAGATTATATGCCCAGGTATCCACTTTCAATAGAGACAAATTAAACATGAGCCTAACATACCTAAAGCTCTGGGTTTGATCCCTTACTCCCCCCCCCAAAAAAAAAACAGGTGAAATTAATTTGTCCTATGAAGCATATACAATATACTGCAAGTGTTTGCTATAAAAGAATTGTTCTTCACTGAACCTTTAAAATTCCATGTGTGTTTTACAGTTAAGCACATCTTCAACTAGCATATTTCAGGCATTCAGTATCGACATGCAACCAATGGCTAGTGTATTAACAGTACACATCTACAGGCCTCATCAGATTCAGGTCTGATGTTTTGATGAAGTCCACTTCCAGAATAGATGGACAGACAGCTTTTTTCTTTTTCTTTTTTTTAAATGTTGGCACTCATTATAGTTCATTGCCTAGAGGTCACAAAGGGTGGTATCCAATTTTTTAATTCCTCTTTGATCCTGATTATTTGCATAAAGAAAATATCCCTTCTCATTAATAACTGGGTTACACTAGAATGTAGTTCAAGTAAGGAAAACTTGACTGACTACTTGATTCCTTTTCCATCTTTTGTTTCTGTTTGTTTTGTGGTGTTGGGACAAATCCAAAGCCTTGTATGTGCTGTAAAGTCTCCCACTCTAACCCTGGTTGGTCTAGAACTTGAGATCCTTTTTCCTCTGGTGATAAAACTTTTATTCTTACTGATTTTTAATGACTGTACTGGTGTTGAGCCATGTCCTCGGCCTTTTTTTTTTTTTTTTTTGCTGTTTTGACTAATTTTTTAAATATAGTCTTACATTGTTTGCCAGAAGCCAGCATCAGACCATTATTCTCCTACTTCGTGGCCTCCATTTTAGCTGGGAGTACACTTTAGTGTAATCACTACGCCCAGTTTATTTGTTAAATTGGGGTTATGTTAACTTTTTTGCCTGGACTAGCCTTGAACCATGATCCTCTTGATTGCTGACTCCTATGGCACTGACTGATTGAAGCCACCTGCCCTGCAATTGCCATTTAGATTTCAGTTGTTCTTAGCAGTTGGAAGCATCATGACAGTAATAGGCTTTGGGAGTTTCTTTTCTTTCTAATCTGATGAGTTCTTCCAGGCTTATTGTGGTGACTTGCTGCCCAGACTTGGAATTGGTCTTTGCTTCAAGGAGCCCTGTCTTCTTTTGGCAGGAAATATATTTAGAGCCCTCAATCTGGGCACTAGGACTATTTATTGCAACTTCCTCAGATTTTAAGATAAAATATAAGAACTTCTAACAGTACTTCCAATTCAGTTACAAGATTACAAAAATATTAAAACCATTGATTTTTGTGCCTCTTTTTCGCACACCAAAAATCTCAATTCCCAAAGAATTTTTCAACACCAGCATAACTATGTATAATAGTTCCCCCTTTATCTGCAGGACATATTCTGCAAAACCCCAAGGGTGAGAGGGATGTCAAAAGATTTCCTTGGAGTTGATTATTTAGTATGGATGAAATATGCTAGAAACTGAACCCAGATCTTGTACATGCTGAGGGTGTAATCTCTACCACTGAGAGATACTCTCAGCCCCTAGAATTTTCTATTGAATACTTTCAGGCCATCATTAATAGTGTGAAGGGAAAATGTTGGAAACTATGGATCAGGAGGGACTCTCGTTTTTACTTTGTCCTGTGACACCAACCAGAATGGTTTTTACTAAGATACCTAGTAATAACTCTGTTATTACTAGAGGGGATATCTTGCTAAGAGTGTTTGGTTAATACTGTGCTTTTAAGACCACAGTTATGCCACCAACTAATTTGTTTTATTTGTTTTTGAAGTTTTAGTGTTATTCTTTATTCATTCTATAACTTCATTAAATATTAAATGGTGGAGTGACAGATCTATAAAACAGTAATAAAGTATAGTCAGAAAAGTAGCCTTTTTTCCATTCTTCTTTTTCCTTTTCCCTCCCCTCATCTTGGCTCCTTTTTATTAAGTTTAACTTTCGGATGATACTTAAGAAACTTTTAACATCTTATTTATTCTTTTAATGAATTTACAAGCACATGCCCTGCACTTGTACAAGGATCATGTAGGACATAGTACATATCTTCTAGTAGTATATATAATAGTCAATGGAAAAGTTCTTTTATAGAAGTATTAGAATATAACTTGTTACAGAATCCTGGAGTCAAATTGCAGAGCATTTTTGTTTTGCTTTGGGTGGGTTTGGGGTTTGGGTGGGGGAGGGAAGAAGGTCTTTGCATTGTTCTTCGCTCTTTGCACTGTACTCATAAGTAGATATGTTGAATTGAAACCCCTCTGTACAACTACTGAAACTATTTTTTAAAAATTTAAATCAATTTTTCTTAGCATAGGGAAGAATATAATTCAAGTACTTCTTTCCATCAATGAATTAATCCCTCGACAGGTATGGGTTGAACTAAAGAGAGAGAGAAATGCTCTTGGCATGAGTCAGAATAAGCAGTGTAAGTACTCATTGAATTGAGTAAGTACAGTAATAAGACAATAGCTGTGGGAATGAGATGGAAAGGCTAGAAGAGGCATTCTCAAGAACAATCTGGTGAGCTTTGAAATTTTTAACTGGCAGAGAATAAGAAGATTTGAAGATGAAGGAAACTGTCACTAACCTAAGAGGTATCTAAGAGAATAGAATTCCCAACACCATTCATTGATTGGGCCCATTCAGTGGGAAGAAAATGGGCTTTGTTGTATTTAGTAATGAGGGGTAAGGTAGGAAGGTTGTCATCTTCTACAGTAATGGTTAGATGAGACCATATTAAGAGACAGTCATGAAAGGAGATAAAGTAAAAATAGGAAGACAGATGTCACAAATCTTACGAAACCCACACTGAAGAAAAGTAACAGTGCCAGTGGCTCACACCTATAATCCTAGCTTCTAAAGAGGCTGAGATCTGAGAATCACAGTTCAAAGCCAGACCAAGCAGGAAAGTCCATGAGACTCATCTTCAATTAAGCACCAAAAAAGCTGGAAATGGAGCAGTGGCTCAGCTCAGGGACAGCAACCAGGCCCTGATTTTAAGCCCCAGGACTGGTACCAAAAAAAGAAAGAGAGGGAGGGATAGAGTGGAGGGAGGGAACTAGAAAGAATAAGAGATAAGCAAAAACATCTAAGAAAGTCAAAGATCACATGAGGAAAAACTTCCAGAGAAGTGGTCATCTTAGACAAAATGCTGGAGATGACAGTCTTTGTCTTACCACAGACCTCCTGCTTTACCAAATCATGTGCCCTGCCCATACGTGCACTTTGATTGCATATCTGCTCTGCAGAAGCGATTCTCAGCATCTTCATTTTCTTATCTTCAAGAGAAAACATCTACATTCTCTCTACCTAGCTCTGCCACCAACAATAACTTTGGGACTGTTCTTAGAATACCAACATAGCTGAAGGCATGACTGTTCTGTGTTTTGGCTACTGGATTACAAAAGTTAAAAATAATAATTTTCCGAATGTGGTACAGTCTATTCAGATTACAGAAGAGTTAGTTGCTCTCTATATCTATGGGCATAGACATGAAGTGCTTTTTCATTGGAAACTTCACTGTGAACTGCTATGAGTAAACACGCTAACATTAGGTTTTTAAGCCCAAGATCAATGTCGTGTTTTTTTTTTTTTTCTTTTCAAATCACCTTCCTCTAGACAGCAGGTGCATTAATGGTTGTGCAACTTTGGGGAGTCCCTTTAGGGAATTTCCTGTTTTTCCCTTTTACATTTCACACCCATTCCTTGCTCTGCCGCTACCATCTGCTGTCTTTTTTCTCCTGTTCAGCATTGGCTTCTTCACACCCTACTCCCACGCCCTTTTCCATCTCCCTCCGTCTGTCCAACAGCCCTCGACTTAGATTGCTCCAATGTTGTACATGGATCGAGAGAACTTTCTCTTTCCTATCAGTTCACTAAGCTCAAAGGAGAAACAAAATTTCCCCGGTTTTGTACCAAGGCCTCTGAACTTGATAAACATAGTTAAGTGGCACCAGACAACATAGGTACTGACATGGAGGAGCCATTTCTTACACAGCCTTAAATATTTTCATAATTGCACACAGAATCCTGTGTTTCTGGACATATGTTTGATGCATCTATCAAGGTAACATTTATACCGAGTTATGAGCTAAGTTACTGTGGTGTTTCTGCAGTGATAAAAGAAATATGCACATGATCAAGTTAAACTACAAACTAAAGCCTGGTACTTGAATGCTATCGGCTTGAATGATATACTGCCAAGCAATAAAACATACCATTAAAATTAACATGGAAGGTTAGTCCCAGACATCTAGCTAATATGGGGGCGGGGGAGGGGGGGAGAAGCCCTTGTCAAAAACAACTGGGGCAATTCATTGAACTTCTTTTAAATATGTGGAATATTTGTATAAAATGTACAGATGGAGTGTTGAATAAATGAGCTGGATGCCACTCATATACCACTCAGGTCATCTGCAGAGATTAGGACTCTGCTTTTAGGGTGAACACTGCAGGTCTATCTTGATTCTTTTATCTGTCAGGATGCTTTTAGATGGTTTGAAAACTAAGTTAATGCTCTGACAATTTTTGCATCTTTAGGTTTTTGACTCAGTCTTTACTGTGTCGCTCAGACTGGCCTCAGACTCACTCTCCTCCTGCCTCAGCCTCCCACTGTGGGGATCGCAAGTGTGCACCACCACACCCAGCTGCTCAAAACAATTTTTAAAGAAAGCTGCTTTTGACAAATTACTAGCACTTGCCAGCTATTCAAAGTGAAAAGGCAGAACACTGAAGTACCACCCCCTTTCTATTTTTAAAACAAGCAAACAGTACTCTTTACTAGAAGTGGGTTAATTGAGCTATAATCAGTTCTAACTCACTTTGCCTCCATCAGCTCAAACTGTATCAAGAGCAGAGATGTAGAATGCAGACCTTGGCAGCAAAGGTGTCATTGGTGGGTATATAGAAATGCTGTAGTTTTTAAATGCTGATATCTGTTACAGGATATAGAAGCAGCAGAGAAGTCTCTGCAGACCAGGATTCACCAACATCCTCTGCCTGAGGTGCTTTCTCTTGAGGTGAGACCAAAGGAATAAGTAACAAGTGAGAACCAGTCCTAACTGTACAGTTGACATTGAACAATCTTGTGTGTGTGTGTCATTTCCCAGCTCTGCTCAGTCAGTACAAGAAATAAGATATGTTTGATTCATCTTTAACTTTATAAGTGGTAATTGAGAAGCATGAACAAAATTTATACCCAGTGGAAATTTTGGCAAGGTACTCTTTCCCCTCCCTCATCTTTTGACACAACTATCCTGTGAAAATCACAACCACTGAAGATTGCTGTGAATCAAAGGTTTGAGCAGGCCCAAGCTCAGGGCTTTTCTTGTTACAACTATTCAGAGGAGTGGTTTATTCAGTGCCTTGGCCAGAATCTAGCCAAGGATTCTTAAATACATATTATCATACAATATAGTGTAGCATTTGTCTGTTGTATTTAGCTCCGTTTTCAAGAACAGATTGGGAAGCTGGCTCATGAAAAAAAAAGCCATATTTGGTACACAAGTATGTTTGTGATGAATGGGAATTTACTATGTATAGAAAATTTTCATTTTATATTTTAATGCCCTTTTTTTCAAATGCCATTTTTCTTTCTTCCCAACTAAGGATTATGAATAGACTCAAAAGGAAAGGCTGAGAATTTGCCCCTTAATTTTCTGTGTCATCTAGGGTAATAAGAAGAAAGAGTGATCAAGGACTGAACAGAAAACTTCTGGTACAAAGTTGTGCGTTGGGCATGTCTTTTTCTTTGTTGATTCCCCAATACTTTACTCTGGCACATACAAGGCCTACATAATAGGGGTTAATCCAGCCGTGAATGGTAGAGAAACCCCCAACCACGGGCCTTGGATGGCATTTTTCTTAGCTAGTCTCGCACAGCAGGATGACCTTTATTTTAAGTATTTCAGGCTGTTTCTCAGACCACATGCATAGCTGTCCAGATACACAGAATTCCTCACACCATTTTCAACTGTGTAGGCTGTGTTACCTTCTTAATGCTTAGAATGCACAATTATGTGTTTCTAGTGCTAACTCATTTGCTGAATTTCTCAAAATACAATTGTTAATGTTGACCTAATGCAAAATGCCCTCAGAAATGTTAGCACTAAATCACTGTAGACTCTTTAGGGCTGTCACCTAAGAAACCATGGAAGTTCCTACACAGAAAAGGAAATGGTAAAACCGCATGAATTTCTCTGGCCTATAGACCACTAGAGTCTGACCACTAATATACATCTTGCTGGTGGTTCACGCCTGTAATCCCAGCTCATCAGGATGATGAGATCTGAGGTCTGTGGTTCAAAGCTAGTAAAGTCTGTGAGATTCTTGTCTCCCTTTCACCAGTAAAAATCTGGAAGCAGAGCTGTGGCTCAAGTGGTAGAGTGCTATCTTTGAGCAAAAATAAGCTTAGGGACAGCTTCCAAGCCCTGAGTTCAAGCCCCAAGACCAGCACCAAAACCTAATAAGTAAAACAAACAAACAAAAACCATGACATCAACTTACAAACTATTCTTAAATGATACTGATAAAATGTTCTCGTAATACAACTTTTATAAAAATGGCAATTTGTGACATCAAGTATTCTCATAAAAGTTAATTTATGATGTATGCTTTTACACACCTAGAAGCAAATTTCCTTTACATTTCTTATCTTGTCCTAGGTCAAATCATTTGCTATTGTGAATGATTTTTTTCATGTTTAATCACTTCACTGTAATAACTTCAGTGTGGGTAATTTTGATGTAGGATAGAAAACATTTAACAAGTCTTCATGCATACTGTAAATGATAGGGCTGGCAATTATCACAAGGTTGACCACAAGAGGGCGTGTAAAATCACAATAAAATTCTAAAACCTGTAATTCTGCCAGGCTCTGGTTTTACTGAGAAATTTGAAAATTAACACTAGTAAGTAGCCAGATTTTTTTCTAAAATTAACATAAAATATTCTGTAGAGGAAATGTATTCTACTTATATCTGTGAGTGTGTGTGTGTGTGTGTGCGCGCGCACGCGTGTGTGCCTGTACGCGCACTCTTGCGCTTAGGTGAATAAACATTTAGACTATTATGAAGAGCCAAGTTCAGTCGCTTGATATGGTGTCTTACTTTGGGGTATTTTTTTTTCAGGCTCGTTACTGGGCATCAGTGGAAGAATATATTCCCAAATGGAAACAGTTTCTTTTAGGAAGAGCACCATACCCCATTGGTGTTGAAAATCATGATAAAACAGAAAACAACCTTCAAAAGAAAGCTGCAAAGCAATTAACTTCTTCACATGCATTTTAAAAGACCTATTTAACAAGCTGGATATGTAACATTCGTAGACAAGTATGATAATTTCAGGAATTGACTATGTCCCTATAACAACATGAACATTGTATCATAAATGACAATAGAGACATAATTGTGTACTGAGAAATGTTAGATTGTCACCTAGTGCTACTTCAAGGTCACAGATTTGTTTTCTGCTAACCCCACTGAAGTGTTAACAACTGATACTAAAGGTATAATGTTTATTCAATGAAGTATGAAATCAGTGTTGTCATTTAGAATACTTACAACCATTCTCATGTAAGAAGGTTGGTTATCAGTTTTCTAGAACCTATACTTTTAATCTATTACATTGTGAGGAAAAGGTATAGGATCAAGATGGTTCCTTTTAACAAATAAAAACATGGTGACACTTAGCTGCTGTTGTACATAATAGTTATCAAAAATAGATCTAGAGGATTATGCGCTTCATAGATAGACCTCCCACAGCTGTGGAGATGGACAGACCTACACCGTGAAGCATTTGGTAAGTAGCTAGTTTCAGGAAGGCTTGGAATTGGTTTTGAAAAAGGGAACCTAGTAGAGCCGAGTAGAAAGGTTGACTAGACTCATAAGTTGGTTATTAAAGGGTTGCCAACCTTATGTGTGCAAATGACCTCTCCTCATCTTTCAACTTACCCTTCCTTCTCCCTTCAATTTTGATTTTCTCCCTTTTGTTTTGATTTGGAAAACACTATTAGTTGGAAAACTGTGGGTGGGTCACAGCCCTAAATAGTTTTAGATTCTCAGATCTCCACTGCTTGAGCACTAGGAAGGAAAAACAAAAGATAATTTTTTGACTGTAGAGGCAGCCTCTGATAGTGAAAGGTCTGTGCTGGCATTATACCGAACTGATCTCAACTGCAAACTGCTTTCTGTTTTTTGTTTTTGTTTTTTGTGTTTTGTCGGTCGTGGCTCTTGAACTGGGCCTGGGCGCTGTCCCTTAGCTCTTCAGCTCAAGGCAAGTGCTCTACCACTTGAGCCACAGTGACACTTTCTGATGGAGGCATAGAATTCCATTGTGTGTGTGTGTGTGTGTGTGTGTGTGTGTGTGTGTGTGTGTGTGTGTGTACATATATATCCCACATTTTCTTGATCCATTCATCTACTGAGGGGCATCTGGGTTGGGTCCATATCTTAGCTATGGTAAATAATGTTGCAATAAACACAGTTGTACTATTAGCTTTAGTATGGTCTTTTTTGTGATCATTTGGGTAAATGCCCAAAAGAGGGATTGCTGGGTCATAGGGGAGCTCTATGTGGAGTCTTTTGAGGAAACTCCATACTACTTTCCAAAGTGGTTAAACAAGTTTACACTCCCACCAACAATGCAGTAGGGTTCCATTCTGGCCACATCCCCTCCAGCTGACAAATAAGATGATGTGAAGCCAAATGAACCCCAAGATAGGGACACAAGTGGTTTTTTCTTTCTTGCTATTGTTTCTAACGTATTTATAATGTACCATGTGATTTTTTTTGTTTCTTTGTATGTTCCTCTCCCACAGTATAACCCCTGTTTTCACTGTATTTGATGTCAGTGCCCTGCATCTTATATATACACTTCTCTAATTTGGGGAGGGAAAGAAAAAAAACAAAATGCTTAAATAGGGATACAGGTTGACCCACAATGAGATGTACAAGACACTATGTTGAAAAATGAACTTTACAGTTTGGGTGGGGAGTGTAGTTGTAGAGGTGGGAGGGAAGGGATGGTAGGGGAAAAACAAAGGAGGAGGTAACAATGCTTGATAGGAAATGTACTCATTACCTTGCTCATGTAACTGTAACCTTTCTGTACAGTATTTTTACAATAAAAAACATTATTTAAAAGAAGAGTCACGTGGATGTTCCTGCCCAGGCTTTGAACCTTGATCCTCAGATCTCAGCCTCCTGAGTAGCTAGGATTACAGGCCTGAGCCACAAGTGCTCAGCTGGTTTGTGATTTTAAAAGAAGACAATAGGACAAGGTTAAGAAGAAAATCTACCACATACAAAAAATACATTGGAATATCTATTGTGCTGATAAGTTCCTCTAAACTACCATCTTGAAAATATCCTGTTGAGTGGGTGTTGGTGTGGGTAACAATAACGTTGTTTTCATAATATGTGCTGGCAGATTAGCACACTTCTCTGCAGTGTTAACAGTTGTAATTAAGAAATAAACAGCACAGGGTGTCAGTCCGATGACAATTTCATCTATAGTGTCACAATACAAAATGTCACAAAATATTAGAACTGTTATATAACTATAAAAAGTATCAGCCTAAAAACTGAAAGCCTTTGGGAGAGAGGGGGGAGGGGAGAGAGAGGGAGAGACGGAGAGGGAGAGAGGGAGAGGAAGAAAGAGGGAGAGAGGGGAAGGGAGAGAGGGAGGGAGGGGGGGATAAGCAAACTGACACAAAGGCCAGAACAATTTTATTATCCCCTCAAGAATGTCCTGAAAATAAGTTGATAATGCATTACAGTTTGGTTTCAAGCCATCCGGTTGATTTAGCAAGATAATTCAGGTTGGGTTTTGTTTGTTTGATTTTGGTTTTCATTTTATTTTATTTTAGCAGCTTTAAATTGGTAAACAGATTTAGATGTAGTAGAGAGGAACATGAGGAAGTTTGGCGATTTGTTTTGTTTTTTTTTTTTAACATCCAATCTTTCCCAGCATATGCACATAAGAAGGTGAATGAAGCAATGTGAAACTTATTTCTCTTTAGTCAAGTGAAAAAAAAGGCTAAACATTTGTTAGCTGGTAAAAATATTGTGTCAAGCAAGTAGGCACATTCCAAAATTAAACAGTGGTTGATACGTTAACGTCCCTCAAATATTTGAGCACACACTTCCTTGAGATCTGTAAATTAAATCACCAGTAAGTTAGATTAAAATACAAAATGAATGGCAAAGTAACCATCGTAAAATGTCTGGTTCTTTCTTCCTACTCTAAATCCATTGACTTACTAGGGATTTTTTGTTTGTATGTTTTCATTTTCCTTTTAGTCTATTTATTATACCCTGGGTTATAATTTAGAACAGAAGATAAGGTATTTTTTTTTCAGACTAGCTGTACCATTTCCACCACTTTGGTTAATACTTCAAAAATTCCCAGAGTTGACTTTATTCCTGGCCCCTGCAAAGCTTTCCCACCCCACCTCGCTTTGTAGACTGTAACAGATTGCACCACATGGTGTCTGTGTAAAAAAAATAAATAAAATCCCACAGGGACCTGGATATCCCAGTAAAGGGCTTTATATTCCTCATGACAAATTAGCTTTACATAGAAAGGCCCAAACATTGTTTTCTGGGAAGAAGGGAGGACTACTCTATAAAGTATATTTTTTCCTATAGTTCATAGGAATCCAACAAAGGAGGGACAAAATGTCACGTACTCATATCTTTCCCCGCCCTCCCCCCTGCCCCCCCTCCCTCCCACCCCAGCCAGTATCTTCCCCGTGCAATCCTGAACCCACTAGTCCCCAGGAAATCAATGAATTTTCATTTTTTTTAAAGGAATAATGTCTTTTTCAAACTAAAAGCCATTCAAGGAATTTTTCCAATGCCATTCTTGGATTGTTGCAAATGCAAAAATATTCACAGTTCATTTTCTGCTGGAATACTTTGATGAAATTATTAAACTGTAAACTGCTAAAGATCAGAAGTAGCTGATGTTTTCCGCCAAATTTCATAAAACATACATTTTAAGAATACTCTAGAAACCACATACCTGGTCTCCTATTGGGAACAGCATGAACACCAGTGAAGGCCAATGGCCAGGTTTGCCCTTAGATACAGCTGTTTTACCCTGTCTGTCTGAGGCTTAGATAATAATCTGAACACTACTTTTTTACGTGTCCATTTATGTGCACAATGCATCAGTCCCTCCACCCATCATTCTCCTCCTCCCTTTATATTTTTTGCTTCTGTATCATTCCCCTTTCTACACTAAAAAAAAAATTAAAGTTAAACTGGATACTTTTAACACTTTTCCTATACTTGGAGATGTGCTTGCTGTCAAATGAGAGTTTGTCATCACCAATTTCAAAGGAATGTAGCAGACTTTAAACCTTCTCCAAGGTAAGTTCTTGCATAAAATGAAATGTGCAAGGCCATAGATTTGGCTCATTTACAAAATATTCCTCTGTTTTTCCCTTTGTAGTCTATTAATTTGGTTTCTTACTCTAAGCCAGTACATATCCTTCTTTAAAAAAATATAAATCAAGTCTTTTGTTTAGAGTGAAGTTTCTCAGCCTTTTACTGTGTTCTTTTCAAGAACTGCCCAAGCATAATAGCTACATGTTTTATAATACTTGTTTATAGGCACCACTTTTTTTTACCTAATTAAAAGTAATTAGGGAACCGGCATTTTTTTTTTAAGTTTGCAAACCAAAATCTACCCTTTCAGGAAGGTAAAATCCACAGGCTCAGTATAGACAGGAAAGAGTCTACCGAAAAGATGGAGGAAAGAGTACTCCAAGAGCTTCAAGTTGGAACAAGGCAATCCTCCCCACCCATGTGTGTTTTTGTTTTGTTTCTCTTCTAGTTTAGAAGTTAATTTGTCTACCTAGGAAACTTAATTCCCCATTACTAATAAAAGAGTGTTTAGAAATTTTCTGAGACAAACATGGGGGCCTGTCAAACGTGGGTAATTGAGGAGAAGATTGATTTGTGGATTTGACACCTGGCATTGTGAGCACTGTTTCTAATGGAACTGAGATTATATCCTTACTCAAATACAAGACAAGAAAAAAAAAAATGACCCCAACAAAGCCAGGGGCTACAAATACTTCCGGACATAGTCTAACCATACAGAGTCAAGTTTCCCTGCTTCCTTCTAAGTTACAGCAGTGCTTTAAGGTTCTTGCCATTTTAAAAACTCACATTCATGTCCTCGAACAATAAGATTGAGCTTCTGTGAAAGTAACTACAGAGCTTTTAGAACAACTAAGTTAAACAAAACAAAACAGAAAACAAAAACAAAAACCAATAGTTGCAATGAGAGATCATGAAATATGCTGGTCTTAAAAATAAAGATTTAGTGTTTCCTTTTTTCATAAAAATTGGTCATTTAACCTCAAATGTCAAGCTCAAGCAATTTTTTCATTATTCCCGAGTCTATACTACCAGTGTAGAAATTCTTATATTATTAAATAGTTGTGCAAAGGGATTAAATCAGGTTATGAGTACAGTGCTTCTTGGTCAGTGTCACCCCTTCCATCTTTTTCC